ATATGTATTGCTAATAAAAAATTAAATAATTATATGTTAAATGTCCTTTGATTATCTGCCAATGGTAAAACTATGGGTGATTTTTATTAGTCTTTTGTACTTCTAACTTCTCAACAAACATGCACTCCATTATATTGTAAGAACACCTATTTAGATGTATATATTGAGTAGATGAAGTATCTTCTAACATGATGTAGAAGGGGCTCAGCTACAAGTTGCAGGAGAAGTTCTCTAGTTAGTCAAGGAGGTTTTAGTCAGATGAGCCAAACCAGTTGGTGGGATATAAAATGCTTTAGCTCTTTTTTTTAAAAATCTGTATACGGTTTTTCTAAACAGCGCCTACAGCCCAGGCCCGGCGAGCGTGTGGGAGAGCTTCTGGCTTCCCTGCGCCCGAGGGACCCCTCCAGACCAAAACTCAGGCACCTGCGTGAGTGAGACCCTCTACCACGCCATCGGGACCCCTCCACCCCTCCGAAGACCCCGCCGCCAAGCCCGCCGAGTGAATGACAACTTCTGCGACTCTCTTGGAACCCCCAGATCCAGCCCAACCCAGAACCGGCTAGTGTGTGGGAGAGATTCTGCGCTCCCCTGTGCCCCCTGGGGCAGGGGCACAACAGAGGGGCACCACAGCTTCACTGCTGTGCCAGAGGGGCACAACAGGTTCACTTCCAAGGGCTGCAGCAGGAAGGAACTGAACACAACAGCTAGACCCAGGCCAGGCATAACTGGGTAAACTAAACAGCGCCTGTCCTTCAGAATTAGGTTTTTCACTATTTTCATTTGTTTGTTTTTCAAATTTGATATCTAGCAATTCAATCAATCTGTAACCTTTATTTTGGAACAAATCAAATTTATTGAAAAAACAAAAACTCAATTCATTTTTTAATTTTTTTCAAGACTCCAGTTCATTTATTCAGTTATGTTGCTTAACTTGTAATACACGAAACGTGCTGGTCTAAGTTTTATACATGTGTGGAATTCTGATGACTGATTTTTGTGTAACTGTAAACAGTTTGGATTAAGAGCAGGAATAAAAATGACTTCAATAGAAGGAGTTATACCATCTGTCCTTTTGAGAAAGTAGAACAATGTTAACAAATATATGCTCTCCTAAACATTCTCTTCTAGCTTCCTGGTCCTGGAGGCTGGGCTGTTCTCAGCCTCCCCTTCCACAGGCCTGGCCCCTCAGCAGTCTTCTGTGACAGAGTACCGGCCTTGTTTCCCCCAGAAAGAAGGACTTCTGTTCACTCCAAGAAGCAGGACAATACATGCCTTCTTTACTTAACCCGAGATGCCTTCTTTTTACCCCAGGATCACTGAAAGCCTTCCCAAAGAACAAAGAAATATTTGCAAATCCAGGCAGGAGCCATGACTTTGATTCTAGTGGAGTAATCTGTTTAAATCATAACACACAGGCACTTTTTTTTGGCTTCTTCAAAATTAGCTTTGCAGTTAAATCATAATTATACCTTACTCTTTAGTGGTATCTTTCGTCCAGGGAGCAGAAAGTATTTTACAAACATTAATTAAGTAGCACAACACCCTTGTGAGGAAGGTAGGTACTGTCCTATTCCTAAATGCGGTTGCCATGGAAAGGAGAAGTTAAGTAATTCATCCATGATCATAATGAGAATTGTTGCTCAAGGCTCCATATGACTGAAGTCCTTCTCTGGTCCTACATTTCATTTGGGAAGATTTTTGAATGCATTAATAACATTTTATCAGCATTTCATTATTTTAAAACTTTCAATGTGGTTTTGTAGGTTTTTTAAATTATTATAAGTTCTGAGTCAGAATTTAAATGGGAAAGGATTTTTTTTTGCATTTTTATTGATTAAAGTGCTCCAGATGGGCCAGCAAGATAGCTCAGCAGACTAACCACCTGCTTTGCCAAGCACAGGGACCAGGGCTATTTTTTAATTTATATAAAAAGACTTTATCACACTTTCTTGGGCAGTACATACACTAAAATTGGAACAATATAGAACAAGTAAGTGTTGCTCCTCCACATGGATGACATGAAAACTTATGAAAGTACCATATTTTTATGAAATAAATCAGACACACAAAGCTTAAATATTGAATGACTTCTTTTATATGAGAAAAAATATATAAATTTACATATGTATATTTACATATTTTTTGTAAATACGGAAAATAGAAGATAAATAGGAAGTAGGATGAAGTTCAAATAATTCCTCAGATTACCTGTTTTGTTCTTTCAAATATATATATATACATATATATGCTAATTTGTTTCATTTAAACTTCTAGTTTCTCTTCTTTCATTGAAAAGAAAGTTCTGTACTATTATCTGTTTCATTTGTTTAAAGTTAACCTTTTTTAAAAAAAATATTTATTTGTGTGTGTGTGTGTGTGTGTGTGTGTGTGTGGCCAGCTCAGCCCACTAGGGGGCTGGGCTGGCTGGCATGTGGTGCTGGGGAATTGAACTGTGGTCCCTGTGCTTTGCTAAGCTTGTTCTAAGTAGGTGCTTTAGACCACTGAGCCATCCCACCAGTCCCTGTTTCATTAATTTAAGACAGAATCTTTCATGCCTATGTCTTGTAATCTGAGTAACTACTTTGAAGATAATAATGCACAACATATCAACTATTGTTATTCTCTCATTATTCTGTTATAGCATTTTTCAGGAAAAAAAAAGAATTTTCACCATCACATTGACAATCTCATTTTTTAACCTTATATACTTGTCCTCCTTGAAATGATTTATTACTCTTGAAAAGCAGTGGTTTCAGATGTAGCTTCCCCCTGGTTTGAGATTCCAGCTCTGACATTCACTATCGATGTCCCTTTAGGCAAACTACATAGCCTATCCAAGGTTTGGCTTCATAAAGTATAATTTGTACATATGTATTTACCTCATAAAGTTATCAAGATTAAGTGAAATATTAGAGCCAGGCACAATGCCTGGCACATGGTAATCACAATGCAAGTTTAGTTTCATCCATTTTATTGTGATTTCTTTTTAAGTCAGTTCCTCTCCCCACTATAACAAAGCAGCATTCTATACACATTAATCACAACAACTCTTGGAAGCAATAATGGAGTCAAAACATTTCTTAAAGCCAGACAAGGCAATCTCACTTAGAGATTACTTCCCTATAAGCAACCTTTTCAAGGCGCCCTTCACATCAGGGTTCCTAAGGCTGTAAATGAGTGGGTTCAGCATGGGGCTGATGACAGTATTGAAGACACCAATGCTCTTTTCCTTATCTGAGGCTTCCACTGAACCCAGCCTCATGTAGCTGAAGAGGCCGGTTCCATAGAAGATACTCACCACAGTGAGGTGGGAGCTGCATGTGGAGAAGGCCTTCTTCCTGCCCTCAGCAGAGCGGATCCTCAGGACTGCAGCTACCACATGGGCATAGGACAGTGTGATGAGAACCAAAGGAGCCACACCCATGAAGGCTGATGCTACAAAGAGCAATTGTTCATTTAGTTGGATGCTGGAGCAGGAGAGCTGGAAGAGCTGAGGAAGGTCACAGTAGAAGCTATTGATCACATTAGAGCCACAGAATTTCAGGGTTGACAAAGCAACAGTGTGAGTCAGTGCATTGGTGAAGGAAAAGACACATGACATGCCCACCGAGGCTTTCTGGATTCCCCAGCTCATGCGGGTGCTGTAGGTGAGGGGTTGGCAGATGGCCAGGTAGCGGTCATAGGCCATGACAGTCAGCAGGAAGCAATCTGCTCCAGCCAGGAGGTGGAAGAAGAAGAGCTGTGAGAGGCAGGATCTATAGGGGATGCTTCTGTCATTGGATAGGAATTGTTGCAACATGGCAGGGACAGTGACAGTGATGCACCCAACATCCAATATTGACAAGTTCCCCAGAAAGAAGTACATGGGAGTGTGGAGTTTGGGCTCAATGAGAATGGCAGCAAGGATGCTGAAATTGCCACTAATAGTAGCTATATAAGCAAGAAGGAAGATGACAAAGAGGATGGGCTGTAGGGCTGGAATGTCTGTGAGGCCCAGCATGACAAACTTAGTCTCAAGTGAATCATTTCCTGAGGCTCCCAATTGCATATCTCTCTTCCATTAAGAATAGTACAAGCAATGATTTAAAAGCACCATGGTAGCTAAAGGTGAATGAGACTCTGATTAACAATCACCAAGTGTAGCAGTGCCAAAAGAGGTTAGGATGTTAAGAAACAGAAATTAGTGGGAACAAAGGCAATTATTGAAGCATAATAGGAAAAGGCTTGATAGATGTGATTTTTTAGTTAAGTAAAGAAAATGGCATTAGAGAGAATCACAAGTGATAAAAGAACTGAAATAAAATTATTAAATTTTGCCAAAAATTTGAAACAAATGTGACATTTGAAGGTTATGGGGCAAAATGATTTTCCTAAAGCCATAATTACAGGATGGAAATTACAACTTCGTATGATGGCATGGCTATAATCTTAATACACAATATCCCATTACATAAAAATTAAGCTTCATCCACTGTTATCTTCCATGGGTTTGTTTGAAGAACCTTCAGATACAAAATCTGCAGATGCTAAAGTCCTTATGTAAAGTGGCATAGTGTATGGATATAACTTTGCATTTCCTTCCATATATTTAAAATCATCTCTCTATTAATTATACCTGGTATAATATACTAAAAAAAGTCTTCACATATTCAGTGTAGACAAAAATTTTTCTGAATATTTTCAATCCCTTATTGGTTGAATCGATGTAGAAAACACATATGTGGAGGGCCAGGTAGAAGCGTGAGCAGTACAATTACGACCACGATGGCTAAAAGTATTAAAAGATTAACATGAGAAACAGTGAAGCTTGCTCTGAATTTTTCAGAAAAAAAAGTGAAATGCAATGAAAAACAGTAAAACTAGGTGAAGATAGGTCCTTGAAGACATTTCTAAGTCCATAGCTGGTTACTATCAACTTCTTAGATTTTTGTAAAGAGTAGGATTATATTTCATTTCTCCATAAAGACTCTAGGAAACTTGAGTTGTGGCACATGACTTTTTACTGAATAAGGAAAATATAAGAAGGGCTTGAGTAAGGTGAAGATCCCAGACTTGTTGAGCTGATACACAGTAAAGTTGCCTCACAGGATACTCAGCTGACTTCTTTCAGAGCTGGATTCTCAGCTCTACACTGTTTTTGTTTCCTTAATCTAATTTCGTGTCACCTAAGTCATATCTATTTTTTGGTCTGGTGATCAGACAAAAGCCATGCACAACAAAGATGCATGGCCACTTACATGAGGCTTTTTAAACAAAAGTTGTTATCTGAATAAAATGCACAGTGATCCACCTCAACTTCTGGCTGAAACATAAATACTAAATCATTTATAGAGAGCCTAATTCACAGAAGATTAGAGATCCCCAAGGCCGAAGGCAAGTGTATAAGAAGACACTTCCTGATGAAGTGTCCTCAGGCACATAAGGGGTCAATCACCATGGAAGAGTTTGGCCATTTCCACATGGACATATCCTTACCATTATTTCAAATGCACTATATCAAAAGTTTAATCACACTTGCTTAATGTGCCCTCCCTTTGACTGAACTACTGCACTCCACCCATGTAGTCCTCCCAGTTAATAAGCTTAGAAATTCAATCTTCACTACCTCTTCCCTCCCTCCTTCCTCTCAAAGTCACATACCCAAGTCCCACAGGAGGGATAGAAGAGAAAAGATTTTTCAGTGCCAAAAAATGAACTTCACTCGCATGGAAATTAAGTTATAAACATGAGGCAGAGAGTACGGATGACACTCACCTAATTAACGAGAGAAACACTTCCTGGGTTAAGAGTGACAGTCAGTCTAGCCCTGTGGTCCTCACAAAGGTGGGAGTTTATAAACGGTAAAGAGACAGAGATGAACAACTTTACTGACATCATTTCACAATGGGCTCTTTCTCCTCCCCATTATTATTCCTTGGTGGCCTCAGAAATTAGTGCCTTCCAGGGGGAGGTAGAACTGCATAAACACTTACTTTAATCAAACCCATAATGATCTTGTAGGACCATAACAATCTCTTTAAAGGTTTTGAACATTGTCAAAATGTTCTCAAGCATGAACTTTATGGATATAGAAAAAATCATTCATTTATTTTTTTCATAATTTTATTGAGAAACAAATAGCAATGAGACAGTTTCAAATCAAATTGGTAGGACAGTTTCAATAATTAACATAATACATTCTGCCTAGTGGTTAATTGCTGGACAAGATGCGGACATGATATCCTATCTACAAACATTATTAGAACAAATCACTCTATTCATTAAGAGAATGTAACTATATATCTATCCTGACCATTTTGAATACACAGATACAAAATGGACATTCATCTGTATACCCTTTTTTTGTTAAGTTTGGTTATTTGAATATTATAGGTGTGTAAACTCAGCAAAATATTCTAAAAGAGTCCAGTAGCCCATAATAGTGTATTGGGTCTTTCACTTCACTAGCAATGTCAGAAATTGTTGACCTGAGTCCCCTACAGCTCAACATAACAGCATGGCTTTACTTCTTTATTTTTTTTTTTATTTTTATTTATTTGAGAGAGAGAGAGAGAGAGAGAGAGAGAGAGAGAGAGAGAGAGAGAGAGGGGTGTGTGTGTGTGGCCAGCTCAGCCCACCAGGGGGCGGGGCTGGCTGGCATGTGGTGCTGGGGGATTGAACCGCGGTCCCTGATGCTTTAGCATGGCTTTACTTCTTATATTTCATTTTTATACTTTTCTGCTGGATGGTTAAGACCAAAGTAAAGCAGACCTATGAAAAAAGAGTTGTAACTTTTGGGTCTGATAAGGTCAGTGAAATCTCTCAGGATTTATCCTGAGATCCTGTACCTCAGATTGTAGAACCTTTGTCAGTGTCAGCCACGTGGAGGAGTCACGGCCATTGCTTGGCCACTGTGCTGTCTGTGAAAGCCTGAGAGAACGCTTTCTCTCCATGCAACTCTTCTTAGGCACACTCTACATCATCAATCACTTTCCTCTTTGGCCCCATAATCTCCATGATCAGAAAATTTTGGACACTACTGAGTTATATGATGCAACAGTACAAGTTCTCATATGTCCTGAGTCTTAATTCACCTTGGAAGGCTAGGGCCAAAATGTTGGCTTTCCTTGCAGCCCTCCTTTTTCTCTAATTTGGTCTGCAAACTTAGTTGTTAACCATCCAGATGACAAGCTTGTTGTTATTACCATACAACTTAGGTTGTTAAGCTTAACCTCACTGTCTGTATATCAAACATCTTAGGCATAACATGGACCAGGTATTTATCATCAAGTATTGATATGTTGAACAATAAGTCCCTACAGAATATGATTAAAAACATTTAAAAATTAGAATATATTTTAAAAATAGGCATAAAACTTATATACTTTTTATGTGTACACATAAAACCAAAAAATTAACCATATACAACCTTGAAGCAGGACAGTCCCACAATATTTCTTTTCCTGTCTCTTGCTTTCATTTACCACCCCCTTCTTTTCGAATAACCATCTACCTGAAAGACAGCATAGCAGCAATTGTCATGTCATGACAAGCAGCCCATATTCAGAATACCAGAATGACAGGCACTCCAAGCATGAAATTACTATTACAGATTACCATCTGCAGTGCAGTTGCTTAGTTCACAGGTATCAGTATATATAGTTAGTCAGGGTGAGAATCTTTCCAATTAAGTGCTAGATTAAAAAATCTTCTGGAGATTCTCAGGATCATTGCCTTGCCCATCTTCTACATATAATTGTATGGCTTGACATTGTTATGTCTCCTAGCTCTTCTCCTTTCCCTCTCTTGATTAGTTACTCCTCGAGAAACTGCTTTCCTTTTACTTGCATTATACCTTTCTATTTGTATTTCTTCTTTTGAGTTCTTATACTGGGGAAACTATATGATATTTACACATGTGTGTTTGGTTTATTTCACTTATGGGTGTATGTTCAAGTGGCATTCACTTCAAT